CAGCTCCCACATTGAACCTCTCTCCTTCAAGTCACCTGTTTGGGGCTTGAGGTCACAGCCTGAGCAGCACTACCCCCTGGTGGCAGCTGCCAGATGGCACCCTCCAAGTCCAAACTGCAGAGGTGGAGGGTAGGGGGAGCTTCTGGTGTCTGTGCCTTGGGGTCTGGCTCAGGTGGGCTCCCCAGAGGGAGTGGGGAAGGAGAGCCTTGCAGTCAGGGCTCTCCCAGGGGTGCTGCTCATGCCCGCCTACTCCCAACCACCATGGGGAGAGTCCTGGGACCATGTGACTTCACATGTGGTGTTGCTGAGCCCGGGGAAGGCATGCGGTGGGGAGCAGCTGGGCTCTTTCATCATCACCATTGTCATCTCTGCTGCAGAGGACTCAGAGCACCTGAGTTCTGCAAACCACAGGCACCTCCTCTTTATCCTGAGTCCTCACGGTGGTCTGTGGGGCCGGGCTACCCTCTCCCATTTTACTGATGGGAACCCTGAGATGCAGTGGGAGGACAAGGCTGGATTCTCACATCAGGCTGTTACACTCCGCACCGCGTGATTCTAAAGCTGCCCACGGCTCCCTGCTGCCCACAGGGCAAAGTCCCTGTGCCTCTGCCAGCCGGTCAAAGCCCTCACACCTGACTCTAGCCCACTGCCAGAGCCCAGCTTCCTGCTGCAACCTTCCCTGCATCCTCTAGGTCAAAGTCAGTTAGGTCTCTTCAGTTAGGTCCCCATGGACACACTGTTCAGACCCCTGGGACGGTGGGCACATCTTCCCTACCCAACCTCTCAGTACAGACTCCAGAGTATGAAAATAAGGCCCCCAGAGCCAGGCTCACCCCATCCTTGGCACCTTGTTCCTTCCTGCCCTAGTTTTGGGCACACTCACCCCTCACGCTCCTCCACAGGGCAGCCAGGGAGATTTGCAAAATCACAGATCCATCATATACTATATGCTGGCATGGTCTGACTGCTGTTAATATGTTGCTGACATTGATCTCAGAACCATGCAGGGGTGACTTCCTGTAATCCCAGGGTGACTGAGAAACGGAGAACTTGAGTGACGTGTTCAAGGTCACACAGTTGACCTCAGGAGCTCCCGCTGCCTTCCTGGTAAGATATCGACTTCTGCCCCTCCAGGCCTGCTCTGCCCACCAGTCCAGCCACATCACCCTGGCCTTGCAGGCTGCGCTTGCTGAGATGCAACACTTGCAGGCCTCCAGCCGCGTGGCTGGTTCACAGCTCTTCGCCTGGACGATAACCACCAGCATGTGTGCCGGGCCTTGGTTTCCAGGGAGTTTTACGTTCTGTACCTCATCAAAACCTCATTGCAACCTGTACCAGAAGTGCTGTTATTATCCCCATCATAGAGATGACGGAAATGAGGCTAAGGCCTGAGGCCCCCTGACCACCAGCCTCTGAGCTGGCCGAGCCCAGAGAACATACGTGGGAGTGGGTGAAGGGGATGGGCTGCTCTACTGAATCTGGGGAGCCAGGCAGGCCTTGGAAGCAGCTCACGTTTTCAAGATGCCCTGGGAGGAGGCCCCTGCTTGCTCCCAGACCTGCGCCTAGAGGCCCATCCTTCTGGGTCCCTCATCGCAGGCCCCGACCTGCTCAGTGAATCCACGCAGTCGTTCTTGCTCTCAACCGAGGCTGCTGTGCTCTGACTCCCCTCGGTCCTGATCCTCTCCACCTTGACCCTCTCTTGTCTGTGTTTTTCTTTCTCTCCACTTAGGGCTCTTTTGACTGCTGTCTTACATTCTTTTCTTCATCTCTCTCTGGACCAGTTTGTCTGCCTGCCTCTCCCTCTGTCGCGCTCATCCTGTTGATTTCCTCTCCTTCCCCGAGCGCCCACTCTACCTTTCTGTATGTGTTTCATTCTTTTCCATCTATCTCCTCCTGCACCCTTCCCCCCACCCCTTGTAATACTTCCTGCTCAGCCCCTCCCACCCTTTCGGAGTCTCAGGGAAGGGACGGAGGTAGGAATTCGGAAGGAACCTTCTGGGAAGCCTGGGAGTCTCCAATCCTTGCCTGGGGGCTTATGTCTTCAGGTTGGAAATTTTATCATTACTCTTTTGTGACTGATCAGGGAAGAAGAAATGGAAACTACGAAAAAGAAAACACAGGAACTGTTTTGCAAGCCCAGAACTGACATAAAACAGAGTATTATGAATATTTTCTGAAAATAATTTCCTTTTATGATGCAGTAACAGTGGCCAGCCCAGTCTGGCTGGCTCACCGGCTGCCGTGAGCAGCAGCTGGAGGCCCCTCCCCCACCCCACCCAGCCTGCCCTCAGCCAGGCCAGGGTGCTTTCTCTGCTTTGGCAGTGCTGGGAGGGAGTGATGAGGTAGGGCGGCTTCCTGCAGATTTGGTGAGCTCTGGATTTCCTGTATTCCTTAGCTCAAGGAAACTCAAGGCCGGTAGGTATTAGCTTGTTATCTCTGTCCACCTGCAACTCAGATGGCCCAGACATTCCTGCACCAACACACCTGATTAAGATCCTCTTGGACCCCCAGCTCCATACTGGGGTCCAAACCCTCCCAGAGCCCGTGATTCCCTAGTACTTACACTCTTGTGACCTTTTTATCCTGTTGTTGAACTTGACACCTCTGCTTCACCCCTTGTGAACTTGGCTATGAAAATCAGCCCCTTCCATGGTTGCTCCTTGTTCCAAATTATCACCAGCGATGGAGATGTACTGGTGGCTGGGAGAACAGCTGGAGCGAGGCCTCCCCCGGCACCGAGGAAATGACTGTTGACAGCAGGTTTTCTCCCACGGAGCAGCCTTGGTCCAGCAGCCCTCAGTTTCCCTCCAGCTTCCTGGCTCCTCACTTCTCCTCTTTCCTTCTCTTAATTTCTTTCTCTTGCCCTTCTTTTCAGGAACAAATGGACAAAATTCCTCTCCCTGGTCATAAAGAGTATCTACCGTCTACCTCCTCTGAGGAGGGAGGAGGTGGTTTTTCTTCATATCTCAAGCCCCTACACAAAGATGTTGCTCTTTTTCAAAGAAATTTTAATGAATATAATTTGTCCTATCTGCTTCCATGCAAATAAGGAGGCTGAGGTCCAGAGAGGGGCAGAGGGCACAGAGGTGTGAGATCAACCAAGAGAGGGACAAAGACAGAGGGAGAAGGAGCTGGCAGCCAGCCAGCCTCTGCCCTGAGGAAGGTGTCCCTCCTCCAGTAAGAGTTGCACACCTCCCTTCTTGGAGAACTCACTTCCTTGGCAGTGTGTCCCACACTGGAAAGAACTGGAAAGTTCTTCCCCACCTCCCTATAGCTCCCCCCATAGGTCCAACTCAGAGCTCTGTGGCTGCACAGAGAAGCCTATGGTCAGGAGAAGCCCACGGAGATTTGGGGCTGAGATGGGGGTGCCCCTGAATCTCATGATCTAATAATGTCAGAGGGGGCATTTGGTTTCTCCCCAGAAGAGCACCCTAGCAGAGCCAGCCCAGAGCTCAGGGTAGGCGGGCTGGGCCCAGGCTCCCAGGTTAGGAGGGGCAGACTCTCCAGTGTCCTAGATACAGAGGCACAGACACTTGAGTGTCTCTTCCTGCCTCCCACTGCCATATGCAGAGTAGAGTGTCAGGGGCCCTGAGGAGCCCCTGGTCCCCTCAGCCACCATTCTACTGTGTTTGAGACCCCATTCCTGAGTCATAGCTTCTCCAGTGGGCACTTGAACCTAGGCCTGCTTACCCCAAAGAAGGCCTGGCTCTCACTCTCCCACTGAGCTTGCAGGTGGGTGGGTGAAAGAAGCCTTCTTTCCTGAGAGCAGCTGGTATCTGCGGGGCAGAGAGCACAGGGTCACAGATCACAGCAGGAGTCCTCATTCCATTGATGTCAACTCTGAAGACCGTCATGGCTGGGTTCCCTGCAGATCCCTTTGTCGAGAGTTGGTGGGGGGGACAAAGGTGTGGGACACCTTCAGGACATGGGAGACGCTAATTGCACTGGGCCTTGGATGTGTCCTGAGCTCACCCTGGTCTCTGCCCACCTCACAGGCCAGCACAGCACAGCGGAGTTAATGCTCAGAGAATGGGGCTGGACCTCAACTGTGTAGATTCCAGGCTTGGCTCCAGCATTTGCAGGCTGTGTGATCTGGTCAAGTTACTTAACCCCCCTGTGTCTCCGTTATGTTAACTGTAAAAGGGAGGTGTGCGAGTGAAATGATTTAAGACAAACATTCTCAGAACGTTGTCTGGCACCTAACAAATGCTCCATAAATGTTACTGCCAGTTGCATTATGACCTCTTTCTGAGGGGTGGGCCGGCCCACTGCACACAGCCCACTTTACTTTTAGTAGGAGCCAGCAAGCACTCACTAACTGAGGCCAATGGCTTGCCTCTGGTGAAGGCTCTGGGGTTTCAGAACACAGAGACCTCTCCTACGCCAAACTTCTCAGTGACCCGCCCCTCTCCTTTCAAGTCCCATGGAGGGTAACCATCACAGGGCCTCTGAGAGATGCTGGTGCCCCCCTCACTCGTGTTTTAAAAGCAGGGGAGGCACGAGTCATTTTTGCAGTTTATGGAGCTCACTTGGGTCTCAGAGGGGAGAATGGACCAGAGGGGGCATAGCTGAGGATGGCAGTGGTGCACAGGAAGATGAGGAGGTCTGGGCTGGGGCGATGGGGACGGTGAGAGGAGACAGGATGGATGAGGAGGAATCAGTAGGTCCTAGGGAGTGAGGGAGTAAAAGAAAGGGAGGTCCTGAGGGTAAATTCCATTCAGGTCTGAGGTCTGTGGCTTAGGAGATCCACTCCTTCTAGGGCCATGGGCAGCTCATTCTGGCTCCAGAGGGATGCCTGGATCTGACCAGGCTTCTGGAGCCATTGGACCCCTGCCCAAACCGCCCTCCCAGAGCCTGCCTGAGTCTCTGCATGGAAAATGGGCTGTCCCAGTTCCTCCACGCCACTGCCTCAGGCCTTGGTCCCCCCAAAGGCACTTTCCCCAGTGTTTTCGGGCCATCAACACACAGAGAAATCCTCCTGTTGAATCCATAATGTCTTTTATTAATATATTATGCTACAAAAATATTTTTGGCAAAATAACATTAATAGCATCTTTCTTTGTCTTCTATTATATTCTTAAAGAACTCTTCATGATAATTCACAGAGGTGAGGGGAAGAGGTGACTGAAAGAACAGCATCACGAATACTTTCAAATACATTAAGGTCCCAAGTGTGTGCCGCACAGTGAGAGCCAGGCAGAGACCTCCTGCAAACTCTCAGAGGCCCGGGAATGAGGCAGAAGCTCTGCTTCCTCTGTTCTGGGCTAGAACCTCCCGTGGCCAGGAGTCAGGCTCTGCCACCCCAGCTATGGGGGCCCAAGATGTCTGAAAGCCCCACCAGAAACTTCTTAGACTCTGGTCCCATTCAAAGGCCACTTTCCCATTAGTGGGACTTGGGAAGGAGGGGCTCTTTGAAGCGTGCTACTCTGTCACCTCTTCTGCCTGCCACATGTTCCCAATCCCATGGCAGCCTGTGGGTCCTGGGAGAAAAGCTGAGCACTGATCCCTGGGAGGGGTCGCACCTCACCTTCATGGAGCCCCAAAATTGCACACTGCGTTTTCCTGTCCCTCCAGAATACCTTAGGTAGGAAATAAGGCCTCTGTTTGACAGATGAGGAAATGGAGGCTCAGAGAGCGGTAGGGGCTTGCCCAAGGTCACCCAGCAAAGTAAAGGACTCTCCAGAGTATTTCTGGAAAGGAAAAGCTACAGAGAAAGTGTAGGAGAAGCTCCTGGGACAGGGACAGGTAAGGCTCGATTGGCTCTCATGACCCCTCTGTTCCCTCCCCCAGGGTCAGGGACAGGGAAGCAATGAGCTCCGTGCTGGGACCAGGGTCCTGCGTTCTGTTCCTGCCTTCCCCCACAGCCCAGAAGTCCCCCTATCCCAAGGCAACTGGCAAGCCTGCCAATTCCCGTCAGGCCCGGCTACGCTGCTGAAGAACTGTGGTGTGAGGCTGGACTCGTTCCTGAACCTTATTGGTTTAGACAGGCAGCCGGGTGATATTTTTGGCTGCTTAGACAAATTTTTTAAAAAAATAACAATGTTCAAAGAACCTGAGCATTAACAGAGGCAGGAGGGACTCTCCATGTCATCTACTCTAGTCCTTTGCCAAGACTTCAACTTTCTACCAAGTCTTCAGCCAGTGGGCCTACTGCCCCTGCTCACACACTTCTCCTGACAGGAAACTCACCATCTGCAGGGGCACCTGTACATCCTTGGACAACTTTGGCTTTGTATAAGAAGCTACTCCAAAAGCAGAGCTACCGTCTGCCTTTCTCCTTCCTTCTTTCCTCTTTCTTTTTCTTTCTACACAGCTATTGAGTGCCATCTTTGTGTCAGATGAAGATACAAAGGTGAGTTGATGTGACTCTTGCCATCAAGGAGCTCACAGTCCAATTGGAGAGCAGATGGGCAATTAATCAGTCTCAGTGGGTGTTGTGATAGATGTTAAGAAAGCACAAAGGAATCACAGGGGGCCTCCTGGACGAGGTGTCATCTGCATTAATCCTCAAAAAAAAAAAAAAAATGAGCAGTTACGGGTAAGTGTTTCCAGGCCTAGGAAGCAGCATGTGTGAAACATTCTGCCTATTCTAGAAATGACAAATTCGGTTCAGTCTGGTCAGGACAGAGTGGGAGAGATGAGAAATGTGGCTGTCAAGGCCAGGAGGGCCAGATCACAGAGAATCTAGAATGCCATGCTGAGGACTTTGGTTCTTATCCCACGGTCATTGAGACACTATCATCAGCTCCAATTCTCTTCTCTGCCACACAGGAGCTGCAATTCCCAAGTAGTTCTCTTGTCCATCAATGTGTTTTTCATAAGCTGTCCTTTTGGTGGAGGACCTTTCCTCGGTATCTGTTGTGATAGTGGCAGCAGACTGGAGACTGGGCAGGTGGAACAAGGATCCTGAGCCTCTAGGTTTGCCCAAGTCTGTTTGAAGCCAGGAAGTAGATGACAGAGCATTCAGCGTGAGGAAAACTCGCCAATGGCCTTTCAGAGCAAAGGCAAACTTGCCCGTCGGTACAGGTTTCCATGCTTCCTACCCTCTTCCGGATCTTTTGAATCTCAGAGATGGTGGGGTCCGTGATGGCCCTGTGCAGCTCCTTGCAGCCTGAGCATGCCCCTTCATGATCCCTGCCTTCCCTGGGTGCTGGTGTGTCAGAACAGCCTGGAGGGAGGAAGACCAGAAGACATGGCCATGCTGACCAGCCCCAGAAAGCTCCTTGGTCATTCAGTCAGGTTTCCTGAGAGACAGGGGACCTAAAGCCACCACTAACCTGCTGCCTAACCTTAGGCAGATCACTTAACCTACTGGGTCTCAGTCCATCTATCTTCTGTGCCTGCTTCAAGGTCAAATGGGAAAGCCTTGAGAAGTATACACGGTGCTCTCAGAACAACAGGGGCATTTTATGAGGCTAAGCACACAGATCATGCTGGAAAAAATGTCAGTAGTGGTGGAAAGATCATTTCCAAGCATGTGAGCGCTGTTGATGGAATGGGGCTCTCCGGCCCAGGGTGAGAGAATGCATGTGCCCCAGCCATTCTGACTTCTGTAAATGAGCCTTGGGTCTTCTGGGGTATAAGCAGCGAGTACAGTTCAGCTCAAACCCTGGCCAGTGGGTGGTCCTCGGAGATCAGCAAACTCAGGCTGCAGATGTCTGACCCGCATTGGCTCTGGCTATCCCATGGGTACATGTCCACCTAATCAGTTAGCTCATCTATCTTTCTTGAGACACTTGAGTGCTTATTTGAGGGAGAGTATGGAATCCCCCAGTCTGCCCAGAGAAGGAGTCCTGAGAAGACTAGAGCAGAATCTGCCTGGTCAGGGGATTGGACAGGATAACCTCAAAGCTCCTTCTAGGAATCTAGGACTGTGCTGCTTGTCCCTCTCAGTGCAGTTCCTCCAGGTCAGGAAAGGTAAGTAGATTCGGGCCCAACACAGAGGTGGGCACCATGTGTGCTTGATAATCACACACTGCATTAATTTACCTCTTTGGCCCCGTGCCTGGCACAGATCTGGGCACGCAGTCAGGTGCCTGGACTGTTTACCCAAATGCTTCATCTTTAATTAACCTCAAGTTCCATCTCAATACATTGCATGCCACACTCTGCCCTGAACAGAGGGAAATCTGGCCTGTGTGTTTCTAATTCCTTTACACTTATCTCATCCAAATAGTGCTCTGCACGATGTGTTTGATGTCCCCCAGGCCTTCTGAGCCTGCTTTATAAGTCAGCTAAGCCCCTTCCTGCTCAGAAATAGGAAGTCACGTTTCTGCCAAGGATAAACCCTGGCTGAGGTCAAGTTCAGTTTACAGCATGGTGCCCATGGGGCTGGCTGGACCCTCTGAAGTAAAGCTCAGGGCTCCTGCCAGGTCTCAAGCTCAAACACATCCATCCGGAGCTGAGCTGAAAAGAATTCAGCTGCCTGCCAAGATACCAATGGGACCCCTGACCATCCAGTGAGCTGCCCTGAATTCTACTACCTCAGAAGGAAGACAGCTGCCCTGCTGGGCAAGAAGGTACTGAGCTAATCAGTCACTACCAGGCCTGCTGGAGGAACAAAGCCATGGTGCAGGGATGCTGGAGAGCACTGGTCTGGGGGTCGGCAGACACCCAGCTGTGCAGCCTTGGGGAAATTCTGCTCTGTGTGGGCCTTAGTATTACCCTTACAGGAATTATTATCAGTCACATGAGAGGTTCTTTCTGTTCTCGTGTTCCAGGATCCTCTAACTGATGAGCCGTTAGCCCATTGGGGGTTCAGGGCTAGCAGGAAGGCAGCCACACTGGGTCTTCTGCCTTCTCGGCCACAACCTTGGGGGCAGAGGAGTGAGGTCAGTCTCTCTGAGTTGTAGTGGCCTGACTGCCCCCATCTGGCTGCCTTCCTGCTTCCCAGACTTTCCACAGCTGCCCCCTACTCCCCATCCTCTGATTTGGCAGAAAGACCTTTCACTGGCTCCAAGATGAGTTGGGGCATGGGACACGTGGCACGCACAGAGCCCTTTGGCAAGAGTGACCAACATGAGTAACTGTGGCCAACAGACTCTCTGGCTGGAGTAAGAAGCTTGTGCTGGCCCACTGGGGCAAGGCCCACCCACCTCCCTGGGAGCTTCCCTGTGTAGAGAGCATGGCAGAACATGACCCAAGAGACAAGAATCACTTTTGAATCATATTGATCTGGGGCATGTTCTGTCTGAGTGACCTTGAGCAAGTCCCTTTACCTTTTTAGGGGGCTCAGTTTCCTCATCTGTGAAGTGGAGATAACTGCCTCTCATAGAACTGGTGTGAGGACCAGGGATAAAGTGAGTGTGCAAAGTGCCTGCCACACTGCGGGCTTTGGACAAATGGCGGCTCTCATTACAATTGTTACCATGTGAATCCTAGAGCCCCTGTCCCTGAATTGCCCTTCTGTGCCCACTCCAGTCCTTCAGCCCAGCTCATTCCATGTGGCTGTGACTTTAGTAGCATCTCCTATAACCCAAGCTGGATTAATGCTGTCAGAAGAGAGAGGCCTGGATTCACATCCTGGATCTCCCACATGCGGTGTGACCTTGGACAACCCCCGTCCTCTCTCTGGATCTCGGTTTAACCATCAGGCACATGGGGCTGGGAAACCACCTCCCTCAGCACCAACATCCCCCCCCACCCCAGTGCTTTGTTCAAAACACTTACCAAGAATTCTGGAGGTCTGTTCACAGACACCCAGGGGTTTCAAAATAGCAGCATCTCTTTCCGAAAGTATCTCCCCAGCCCTAGGATGCATCCAGGGGAGGGAAGGACTGTCAGCGTTCACATCTCGGACTCCCAAATCCAGCTTCACAAAAGCTAAGCCTGTCTGACTGCCCCTCCCTCTGAGGTCCCCACAGTAGGAGAAGCCAAACCCAGACCCTGGAGGCTTCTGCTGATCCAGGAGGAAGCAAGTTCAAACCCACTGTCTGCATGAGGTCACAGGTGTCCTGACAACCTGGGTTCACCTCCTGGGTTGGTGCTGGGGCTAATTAAGGGGTTATTAACATAGGCCACATAAAAATAGTTTTATCGGTGGAATAAATACATTTTTCTTTTTTAATATGGACACGTATTTTACAAAAGAACCCCATAGCACTATGGGAAATTAAGATCCTTCTACAAAAAAGAAGATGTAACTTGGGCACAATAAAGCTCTAGTGTTCTAACGGATCCCGTCTGGACTGCCTGCGCATGAGGAGTCAGGCGCCCCTGGAGGTGACGGCAGGGGCAGCGGGGTGTGGCCAAAGACCCTCCTGTGGTTTCTCTGGCTTCTCTGCATGGGCCAGTCGAGGTCAGGAGGGCCTAAGAGTGTGTAGCAGGAAGGGGGCTGCAATGCTGGTGGAGATGGCAACGGCAGGGAGGAGGCCGAGGGCTGGCTGCAGTCTGGCGGGCGCTGAGCTGCTGGCGGAGCCCGGCTCTTCCTGCTGCTGGAGCTGGTCCGAGAGCTGGAAGGAGGGCCTGGTGGTCCCAGAGCTGTGCGTGGGCTGGAGGGGCAGCGGGGGTGGCGAGGCGGTGGTGCTGAGAGGAGAAAACACATAAACCCTGAGTGACTGCTCAGTAGCTCCATCGTGGGCTGTGCCCTTGGAATTCAGATCTGACCTTTTTGGATCTCTTTATTCCCCTCAGAGAATGCAGAAAAAAACAAGGTGTTCAGGCAGGGAAAGTGAGCAGCCCAGAGCCACACAGCAGGCCACTGAGCTCCTGAGGCCGTACTTTCCCTCCTATGCCAGGCTTTGGGGGGTGGGCTAGGCACTGGGGACTGCAGGGCTCAGTTCTACCCAAGGGAACTGGATCCCAGGCAGAAAGAATTAAAGGGTTGTAGAGGGAGCTATCTGGGGTCACAGTGGGCCATCGGCCTTCACACCTGTGCACACAGTCGCTGTGGCCCGCCTATTTCCCTCCTCGCCCCTATCTGAGATAAACAAGACAAAACACACAACCCCTCTCCATCTTGCGATGCCAGCTACCATTTATTGAGAGTATCTCTGGTTCTCTAGACAAACTTTTACAGTGGTTCGCATCACCCCTTTCACCAGTTGAGAAAACTGAGGCTCAGAGAGGCTACATGGGGACCAGGTGACAGAGGAAGTGGAGGCGGCACCTCTATGGGGCAGCAGCCCTGGGGTCAGCATAGCCACAGGGGGTTTTAGTGAAAGGTGCATCGTTCATGAACTTATAAAAACAGAATGGAGTGTTGGAGGTCCTGGTTAAGGATATTGGCTCAGGAAAGTGTATGTGAAGGAGAGGAAGGAAGGAGCGACATAGGGACAGAGTGAGACAGAAAGAAAAGGAGATCAGTACAGAAGGAATTGGCAGGCAGAGGCCAGCACTTGGTACCCCTGGGAAGTGCAGGGTAGGACAGGGTGCAGAACCATATCACCAGCTCAAGCCCTAGAAAGAGAGATAGGAAGTTATGAACAAAGAGAGGGACAACGTCTGGAGAAGGGAAGGGACAAGACAGAGACTTAACAAAGGGCACAGGGGAAGAAGGCTGTGGGACAGAGGAAAAGGCTGGGACCTAGAAGTGATGGGCACACTCTCCCTGTGGAGCCCTGGGCAGAGGAAGGCAAATGGACACGTGGGCAGAGGACCCAACAAGCCCCACAACACAAAAGGGTCAGGATGGGAATGGAAACCCAGGGGCAGAGGGCACACAGTGGAGCCCAAATCCAGTGCGGGGCCTGGAAGGCCTCCCTGAACAGGTGACTCTGCGGTCACCTGCGAAGGCAGCAGGTCTAGCTTGCATGTGGCAGAGGGTGCTCCCAGAGGGACAGAGAAGTACCCACTGAGTGGGGCCCGTGCCAGCTCTGCGGGATGCACTGCAGGAAGTAACCTCTGCAGTAACCTTTATTCTTCATGACCATCCCACGAAGCAGGTACAACTGTTATCCCATTTTACTTATGAAGAGACTGAGGCACAAAGGGGTTAAGTAATTTGCTCCAGGGCACAAGAAAGGGAGCTGGGAGGTAGAAAGCTTGCCCCTGTCTGGTGTCTGCATTGTGTGTAGCCTCCACCATATGAGACACTGCTCTGCTTTCTAGGGCTTTCCCTCCCTCCCAGACAGGCTGCTCAGTCCCTGGGGCTTCTGGGAGTCCTCCAACCCTGCCTGACCTGAGTCTTCATGTGCTGGTTACAAGGTCCCGACAATTAGCCAAAATCACTTGGATGAGACCTATCATCACTGCCACAGCCCAGCCCCTCCACCATACAGCTGGATGCCTCTTACATGAGCTGGTTCAGCCTCAGCCTGGGAGTGGGTGGATGAGGGAGACTGGGGTCACCAAGAACAACCCTGTCTCCACATGGGCTGGGACCTGTGATCTGGGAGTGGGGTCCAGACACTTGGTCAAAGCAAAGTCCTCACTCCCTGCCTGGTCCGTTCCTCTCTACTCTGCTACTGGTCATGCTCCAACCACAGGATCCTGCTGAGCCCTTGCAGGTGGGAGAGGCTATGCTCCTCTGCTTTTAGAAGTTTCCAGAGGATCTATCAGGAGAGGAGAGAGCAAACTCTTGTCACACAGAGGATAGAGGGAGCATGTTCTGGATAGAGTGTGTATGTGGAACAGGTGGAGTAGGGAAGGACCAGGTGGCTTTGAATGCCCCTCACAGCCGACAAAATCTGGCCTGTTGTGCCGACCATCCCAAGCTTCCAGCCACTTGTGTGCAGCTCTGGAGAGCTGTCATGGTCTGGTGTCAGCTGAGGTCACCTTTTCTGGCTGTCCCAGCATACACCAACCCTCTCCAGTCACATCTAATGTCCTGTGGCCAGTTTCCTATTCCCCTCTGAATGAGTACTCATGTCCCCTCACCTGCAGGCCTCTGTCCTACATCCCCCAGTGCCACCTGGAAGAGTTCAAGCTCCCATAAAAACTTGTACATCCTCACACTGTCATGGGCACCTGTTAGGGCACAAGAGATCTGAATGATGCCAGGCACATGGCGCTCCGTGCTGTCAGCTATCTGTATCATCATTATTAACATGTTTGCATGTGTCTCCCTGCCAATGACATCTTTAATTTATGGAGTGTTTCTTACATGCTGACAAGCACTGTGCTTGATGCTAGGCATGTGCCATCTATTATTCTTCCCATTTACAAAATGAGAAAGTGAGCCTGAAGGAAGTCAGGACCCAGGGGTGTCCTGGGCAGTCTGTTCTCCAGGTCGATGGGGCCTGGGTGCAGACCTGACTGCGTGAATGAGCAAGTTTGCGATGTTGGGCCCAGGGGTGAAGCGTGCTGCTTCCTGCTGAGACCTCGAAAACCCATACCCAGCAGTGTCACCGCCTCAGCCCCTTCTCTCTCTTTCTTTTTTAACAAAAAGACCCCATCCCTGCACACAGCACAGGGGTCCATGAAAGTTCCCCCCAGCTGCTGCCCCATCATTTCAGCCTGAGCAGCAGGAAGGCCAGGAGGGCTGGCTGCCTCCACTTGGAGTACCCAGAGTGGACGCAGAGTGGCCACAGCCAGCCCCACAGGGCATCAGGAGGAAGAGCGAGTGGGAGTTATAGAAACTAGGTCTCACGAGGCACCAAAGGCATTTGCTTTTACACTTTGAAAACCAAAGATGCAGCCCCCACCACCCCCCTTGGAGCCTGAGTGGGGTTTATTGCTTGGAAGGAGTCCCAGGGAAATGGGGGAAGGCAGCTGGTGGGGGCAGAAAGCCCCTCCACATGTCCCAACTCCCCTGCTTGCAAAGCTTAGTCCCCCAGTCCAGATCCCCCCACGCCTCCCCTACCCCGACCCATGCTGGGAAAAATGTCTCATGGCAAAGTGGCCTCAAAGCCAAACCAAACACTCTGAGTGTTCCCAGGCTCCGCAGACGGCTGGCACCAAGGGGCCCAGTCTGCTCTGAGCCGACAGGGCCTCCTGAGCGGGGAAGGACCCCTCTGCCTGAGGGGAAGGCAGGGCCCCATTCTAGCCTGCCCTCTGTTCCTGCTGACTGTGGGGCTTCGGGCAAGTCCTGTCCTCTTGGCCTTAGTTTCCCCATGTGTACAAAGAAGGAGCAGGAATGACCCAGGGACTTTAAAACGTTTTCTAGCCGTGGAAGCCAGAAGTGAGACCTTAGGCAGAAGCCCAGTGTATAAAGCACAAACAAGCAGGGCTGGTGCTGGAGACAGCGTCACATGTCTGTCCTCTGGGGCCCCTCTGTAGGGATTCCTGGAGCAGGGGCCGGTCTTGGCACAACAGGGTCTCCAAGAGCCATATGGGTGGCCTCTCGGAGCCTCGGAGCAATGGCTTTCGTGCCAACAGAAGGGACTGCTGGGCTGTGCCCTGGGTGGCCTCTGCGTGGGCTCTGAGGAGACAAAGGGGAGATGGAGCCTGGGACAGCAGGGCTGGGCGACGGGTGGCCCTGCAGCCCAGGGGCGGAGCTCCCCAGGGGAGACCTCACCACGGTTCGGCCTGGGCCTCTGCCTCTCTGGGACGAGCATGCCGGATGCAGGCAGAGATCTGAAGTGACAATTAAACTTCTGGAAGAAAACAGGCAGTAAACTCCCTGACATTCCTCTTAGTAATATTTTTTTCTGATATATCTCCTAGGACAAGGGAAACAAAAGAAAAAACAAATGGGACTACATCAAGCTAAAAAGTTTTTCATACCAAATGAAAACATCAACAAAATGAAAAGACAACCCACTGAATGGGAGAACGTCTTCACCAGTGATACATCTGGTAGGTGGTAAATATCCAAAATTTACAAGGAAGTCATACACCTTGATAACAAATAAACAAGCAAACAATCCAATTAAAAAATGGGCAGAGGACCTGAATAGACACTTCTCCAAATAGAGTTATGGAGACATGCTCAAAGTCACTACTTTGCACCAATGAAATGCAAATTAAAACTACGAGGAAATATCACCTCAGAATGGCCATCATCAATAAATCCACGAACAACGAGTGCTGGTGAGGATGTGGAGAAAAGAGAACCCTAGTTCACTGTTGATAGAAATGCAGACTGGTGTAGCCACTGTGGGAAACAGTATGGAGGTTCCTCAGTGAATTAAAAATAGAACTACCTTATGACCCAGCAATTCTGATTCTGGGTATATATCTGAAGAAATCCAAAACACCAGTTCTAAAAGATATGTGCACCCCTATGTTCATTGCAGCATTATTTACAATAGCCAAGATACGGAAGCAGCCTGAATAGATAGAGAAGAGGTGCTACATGTATACAGTGGAACATTACTTGGCCATAAAAAGAATAACCTTCTACAGCAACATGGGTGAAGCTAGAGGGCATTATGCTAAGTGAAATATGTCAGACAGAGAAAGACAAATACCATACGATTTCACTTACATGTGGAAACTAAAGAACAGAGTAAACAAACAGACAAAACAGAAACAGACTCTTAGATACAGAGAACAAACTGAGGGCTGCCGGTGGGAGGTGGGTGGGTGGGCTGGATAAAAAAGGTGAGGGGATTGAGAAGGACAAATTGGTGGTTACAAAACAGTCACAGGGATGTGAAGTACAGAACGGGGAACAGAGTCAGTACAGTTGTTAGAGCTATGTATAATGCCCGGTGCATACTAGAATTATCAAGGGATCACTTTGTAAATTGTATAATTGTCTAACCGCTATGCTGTATACCTGAAACAAACATAAAGTAATATCGAGTGTCAACTGTAACTGAAAAATTAAAAACAAATAAAGCGGTGGGTTTGCCTGCAGCTCAGTGTCCTGGTATCTAAGACCCACGGCAGCCTCTGGGCCTGTGGCTGCGTGGTTTTCCTCTGTTGGAAGTTCCTCACCCTCCCCTCCGCCTCCAGCATCATGTCTGACCCCCAGGCCCTGACCTCCAGCCCCTATTGACTAACTGCCTTTGCAGGCACAGGCAGATGGACTGTGGCTTCAGGGCACTTTTAGCTGAGACATCATGGGGCATTGTCCCTGCTCAGCTATGACCTGAGACTCTTCCCACTCTGGTCTCCACCAGCACTTAACACAGATCTGGGCATCTGTTCAGTGGGGTGGGGGGTGTATTTTGTAGCATCTGCCTAGTGGGTCATTTAAGGCTGTAAGCCTAAGCTGAGCTGAAGGCCCACGAGCAGCTTCTGCTGTGTGTGTGTGGGCGGGGCATCGTAGACCATCTGAGAGTCAAAGTCTTGGTCTGCCCACCGACACTGGAGACAACTGTGACTGAGTGTCAGTGGTCTGATGCCAGCTTACCACGGTACAAGCACCATCTCATCTACCCTCTAAGCCTCAAAGCAAGTACAAGGGACAGGGGTTTGAATCCTGTTCTGCCTGAATTCGTCGGTGCTTTTATTCACTGAGGGATCTTGCTTCCCATTTCTCATGGGGGCATCTTCTACCTCTAATCAGATGGGGCCCTGACCACCTGCAGAGACCATGCTGCCCACCCTGGACCAGGGAGAGGACAGGGCTGTGCTAGGAGAAACTGAGGCTGGGGAACTTCAGGGCAGGAAGGGCTGGCTGGCAGAGCCTATGGGCTGGACCTCTGAGGGTCTCTGGTCTTCCATTCAAACTTCAGGGGAAACTGAGGCCCAGAAGGCAATGACCCCTTGCACATGTATGTCCCCCTGTGCCTGCATAGTGACCCCCATAAGGCCATTGTATCCATCACATACTAATGTCTTCCTCTGCGCCTTGCTTCAGGCCATGCCCAGCTCCTCCCTGCACCTGCCTTTGCCCCATTGTGACTGTCCTTCCAATCCTGGTGGCCCAGCATTCTGCTCCTTGTTTGTCCACCCCCCCAAACACACACACCTTGTGGACTCAGAGAACGACACAGCGGGCATGACCTTCAAAAACCAGTCAAGGCCCCAACTACATGCAGGGAGAAACTGAGGACTGACACAGGTCTGACCTCACAGGGGTGGTGCCCTGCACAAGGCCAGCCAGCATGGGAGTGGTCCCTGCCCTGCGGCCCCCTCCTGGCTCTCAGACCTGCAGCCCCCTGTGCCGTTGTGCAGCCATCTGTGGACACAGGCTCAGCCCTTTCCACAGGTCCCCATAAATCATCCTGCCACGGGCTGCTGCTTCTCTAAACTTCCTCCCGTGTGTTTACATCTCGGGTAATGAGGGGCAAGGGCGGGCCAGCCTGCTCCAGGTGGTGTCCTGCCCAGGCGCTTGCAGCCCCCACCACACTCTCGAGAGACTTCCTTCTCTCCTGCAGTGACCCACAGAAGTCCAAGCCAGATCTGCTCCCCCAGGGCTCCCGACCTAGAAACACAGGTGAGGAATTGCAGTCTGTGCGGCTGTGCCAGGACAGGACCCCATGGGCGGCTGCAGAAGGGCAGGGAGGGGAGAGCAGGGAGAGCCATAGCAGGAAGGGAGAGTTCAGCTGGGCGAGGATGGGGAGATGCTTGCCAGGTGAGGGTGGCAGGGCCGTTTGCCTGGAGGTTGAACAGCTGTGACCCTTAGCATGAGACAGACCCGCGTGTGGGTTCTGACCCCATACCTGACCTGCTGTGTGGTCTTGGGCAAGGTACCTGGCCTTGCTGAGCCTCAGTTTCCTTGTTTGTCAAACAAGGACTTCTGATAAGGCATGTGGTAGATGTAAGTGCCAGGCACAGAAAAAGCTCAACAAATGTCCACTGGCACCCACCCCAGCAGAGAGAGAGGCAAGTACAAAGGTGGGGCCGGGAGCTGGGCATGACTTGCTGAGAGGGAGCCCAAGGCCTGGCCAGCACAGGGCCCTTGGCACCCCTCCGGAGGAAGGGCAGTGGGTAAGGCAGGAAAGAAGGTGATAGGCACTGCACCTGGGCAGAGCTGCAGGAAGCGGACCTGGTGATGGTGGGAGCTACGAAGATCTGAAGCTGATGAGCAGTGATGTGCTAGGGCCAGGAGACCTGTTAGGACCCTGCTACACGATTGACTGGCTGGAAGATGAGCTGGGGAGAGAATGGAGAGAAGGGAACAGAGAGGAAGGGATGGAGGGGAGGGGGTGAGGGGAGGGGGTGGTTCCAGTGGGATTTAGGAGGAGAAAATGAGAAAACCCTGAATGAAATGAAAGCTCCAAGGAAAAGGGTTTGGTTGGCTGGGCAACAAATGGGCCCCCAGGTCTTTCCAGAGGGCTCTCCTCTGTCCCCTCTTGGGGGACTGGAAACTTGGGAACTTGAAGAGGACAGAGTGAGACTGGGGTGACATCAGCTGTGCCGGGCACCCAGACCTTTCATGGAGCCCAGGGCCTGCTTCCCCAAGAAGCTAAGAATGGGTGGGGACACTTTCAACAAATAGGCTGCCTGTTGGTGGAAACTTCCTTCTCCAACCCAACTAGATGGGAGAAGGTTATCCAATCATCATTTACCTGCTGGGACTGAGAGGGACCCCCTCTTGCCAAAGAAAAGCTGTTTTCTTCTTCTAAAACCGACTCTGTGTTTCGGAGCTACGTGTTGTGAAAAGGAAACAGTTTGGGAGTCATTTGCCTGAATTTACCTTTCAGACATGGTTAGGTGCTGGGGGTCTGCTGCTGGAGCTGACAGCCCAGCCCCCTGTCACCCAGTGGGCTGGACCTGCCACTGGCCAGCTCTCCTGGTCACCAGGGAGGTTGATCGAGACTGCGTGACCCGCTTGATTGAAGCATTTTATGGGCTGCCACCGCCTCCCTGGCAGCCCGGGGCCCTCCCCAGGGCTGGAGGAAGCGGCTCAGTAACTCTGCCCCCGGCTCCAGGTTTGAAAGAGGCGGCCCATGCTGGGCACGTGAACATGTTGCAGCCAACACTGCTCGGTAGTACCTCTGGCAAAGGCTCAGCAGAAGTACATTACCCAGGAACCCAGGCCAGACACCGTAAGCCAACCCACAGCCGAAGGAGTGATGGACTCGCCTCTTATTTATTGGAAGTCTCTTTAAGATTGTGTGCATCCCGCACTTTAAGAGAGTGGACTGGACTATGTCAACTTTTGGTCGATGACTCAGAGACCTAGCTGCAGAAGGATCATGCCTCAACAGAGCAGGCAGCAGCTCCTGATTTCTGTGTGACCCCAGACAAGCTCCCTGGCCTGGGCCTCGGTTCAATGTCTGTAAATGCAGAGCTGGGTCTGCATTTTCCAAAGCTGCTCAAAAGAATCTCCAGTGTGCATTCAACACACAGTTCCCCAGGCCCCACAGGTGCTGATTCAGGAGGTCTGCCGTGGGGCCCGGGAACTTGTTTAACAGGTGCCCAGGGCGAGTCTTTCTGAGGATGCTGAGGAAACCCTGGACGGCAATCTGCAGGGTCCAGACTGAGGCTCTGCATCTCTGAGGGACCACTGCCAGGCACAACATCCAGAGCTGGGTGCCACAGCGAGACGGTCTCTACCTTTCCCTGATGCTCAGTCCCTGAGACATCCCAGGGCTCTGGTGATGCTACTCATTAAATAGGAAGATTCTTGCCCAAAAGTGGAACCTAAGGAGACTGCTCTGTATTCAGCCTGCAGAGGTTGGAAGATGGCATCCTGGTTACAACAGGAACTTTGGTGACAGACAGGCCGAAGGTGGTGCAGGGTGGCAGGAGGGTTGCGTGGGCAGAAGACAGGGCAGTATGAATACAGTAGGGCAGTTTCTGCGCTGGCCCATTGTCAACAAGGTTTCTCACGGATTCTCCATCCTTTGCTGACACCAAGCCCACAGCAGTAGGGTGCTAGGTGCCCTCTGTCACCTCTGTCTTGCACGGGGGCACCCCCTCTGCAGCCTCCCTGCCAGGGTGTGAGCCACTCAGACCTTCAGGCACAGGTACAACCTTTTGATACAACCAGCCTGTGTTTCCCCCCCCAGCTCAAATGGAGCCTGTTTTGCACACCAGGTGCATCCCAGGAACTTAAGGGCAAAGCAGACTTGTGGCTACTGCACTTGAAGGAAGCTTCTATTCTCTCATCTTAAAAAGGAGGGGATTATACTTGCTCTCATTTTGGGAATAAAAATGAAGAAGATGCCAGTGTGCTCTGTGAACCCTGAGAGATGAACAGGAGGATAAGCCAGCCCTGAGGTTCCTTGGGGCACTCGCCTGCTTCCTCAGAGCATGGCTTGCAGATGACAGACTGCGCCTGGCCCTGGGGGGCTGGAGGGAGGGTGACTGGGAGAGGCGCCCCACTCCCAGTAGGACCTGCCCCTCCCCAGCTCACCTGTCCTCGATGCGGACCCAGAGGTCATTGAACTGCCGTGGCCGCTGGTGTTTATTCTGCCTCTTGTGCCACTTCTTCTGCCGCCCGAACTCCTCCAGCTGGCTGAGGCTGTCGGGGAGCAGGAGGTGTGGGGACAGGGCTGGGTCCTCCTCCTCGGGTGGGGTGGTGGGGGTCACGGAGGGCGCTGTGGGCACAACAGCAGCTGGGGTCACTGGGGCTGGGCTCACTGAGGTCCCCTCAGATGGAGGTGCAGGGCTCCTGGCAGCAGAGCTGGAAAGGGCAACATGTTGCAGCATGTCATTCACATGTGACAGGGGTTACAAGTCAGTGGGAAAGTTGTCATGGCAAGAGAAGGTGCCAGCGTGCCCCTGCTGGGCCTGGCCAGGCTGACCCACAAAAACCATAGTCTGGTGCTGACAGGTGGAGCTTCGACTCCTTTCACTGATTGATTGGATAAATATCGGGCATCTATCTTGCACCAGACACATTAGTAGGAATTGGGCAGAAGATGTAACCCAAACAAAGTCCTGCCCTCCTAGAGCTCACTATGTGGAGCAGAAAATGGAGAGTGAGACATCCGGGATGTCAGGTGGTGATGACGGCCGGGGGGACAAAGCAGAGATGGCAGAGAGAGTGGTGGGTGTGGTGCTGGGAGCATGATCTGGTCACTGTGGTGCTGCTGCGGTGACATTGGAGCTCAGACTAACCTGAGGTGACTAACCAAGTCAGGGGTGCCATGCAGTGACCAGACTAACCAAGGGAGCCATGGGTGGGGCTCTGGCTCTGGGTCTCATTCATTCAACAAGCTCTGGCTGAGGGACTTTGGGTGAGTTACCTAACTTTGCTGTGCCTCAGTCTCCTGCTCCAGAAAATGGGATCTACAGTCTGTGTCCCGGAAGGGAATCATCAAGATTATGTAGGTGGACACAGGAAAAGCACTTAGAACAGTGCCTGGCAAATAGCAAGCCACTGAAACATTTTACTAATTAATATTATTAATTAAATATTATCATTGTTGCTTATGTCATTCAGCCAACCATCCATTCATGCTTTTAACATGCATTTACTGAGCACCTTTATGGGGAGGCAGGATGGTGTTAGGCAGATTAGGGCCCCAGCTGGAGGTCGGTAGACATGGGTGCACATCCTCACAGGCTGTGTGACTAAGGGCGGGTGACACATTGTCTCAAGCAGCAGTCAGCTGCAAAACGAGAGTAGCAGTGCTACTTACTTCATGAGGCTGGATGAGATGCCTGGCACATAACAAGCCTGTCTGTAACGCTGGCCAGCACGCAAATGGGCCTGGCTCTAGCAGGCACTGAACCGTCCATCAGGCGTGTGCGTGTATGGATTCGCATTCCATGCAGAGGCATACGCAGGCACCCCTTAGCCTGGAAACATCCTCTGCCCCTCTCCCTTTCACTCTCTCCTCTCCGAGGCCCAAATGGAATTCCTTTTGGGGCCATCTATCCCTGGGAGAAGGCTGGCCATGATTTCGGGAATTGCAAAGGTAAGGTGGCACCCAACGCAGCAAGCAGCCTGTCCCCTCACCCGACTTCCACATGCATGATGGGTGAGGGGCCTCTCTCCCCTTGGAGGAGAAAAGGCCATCAGCTCAGCCTGTGTGCCCCAGCCTCCACGGCAACTCCAGATTCCCAGGGTCCAGGAGATGCCGCAGATGCTGGGGAGATAATTCAAAACAGGCAGACAAAAAGAGGGATCTAGGAAGCACCTGTGGCCGATGATGCCTTCCATTGTCAGGGCCTCCTCGGCATCCCTGCTCCCTCCCCCACCCACAGGATTTCAGCCTGCGCTTGGAGACTCGGGCTGAGAGCCCTCGGCACAGGATCTGGATGGGGGGAGAGCAGTGAGGGGACCCTCCTCCAATGCCCGGGATCTAGGTGAATAGGAGCCGAGGCGCCTCTCCAGTCTGCCTCCTCTCCCACCCCCACCCCTACCCTGACCAGGACAGATGCAATGAGCTTCATAAGGTGAAGGGCTTTGCCCCGTGTGGGGAGCTTGAGGAATGCTTTGCCCCCGAGGCCACCTTGTCCCTTACGCCGCAAACACATGCCTGCCCAGGCCTAGTACCATCTGATTCGTATTGAACTGAATGTTCAGGGAGAGTGGCTTTGCCAGGTTGGTTCAGAAGATGAGAAGAGGAAGGAGTCCAGCGTGAGAAAGTTTGTAAGTTCCTCTGGAAAAGCCCTGGAGATAGGGGGAACAATGACCCTGCGCAAGGAGACCAGAGGCTCAGTGCCCTGGCTAACCCAGGCCTCATCTCTGCAGAGTGCAGAACAGGCCTCAGCCGTTTCTGAGCACTCCCACCTTTGGGCCCACTGTTACCCCCAGAGAGGCACAGGGTTATGTGCTTAGAGAGGCCCTAGACTGCCACGTACACCAGCTATGTATCCTTCTGCAGGTGCCTTCACCTCTCTGGGTCTCAGGTTCCTCAATTTTAAGGTGAGGATACTCATAGTTCCTAGCACATGACTGTCATGAGGAGTCAATGAGTTAAAAACACTCAGAACTGGTCACACAGTGAGACATTAACAAATATTAACTATGATTATTCAAGCTTATTTTGGACCCTGGGTCTTATAACATCAGGGACAAGGGCCCAAACTACACTATGGTTGCCCTTGTGGGCTGGTGAGGACAGTTCTTCCATAAAGGTTGGACGGAGCAAGGACTGCATGGGACCCCTGAGTCTGAGGACCCTGCAGCTGCCCAGCAGACACCCCCACAGCCTGGTGCTAGCACTGTGGGACACACGTGGACCCAGCTGACCCTTGCCTTCAGGCAGCTCCTGGGGTGGGGGAACACCCGCCCTCTGAGGGTGGTTGGGTGCTCTCGCAGGAGAGTGGAGGCAGGTGGACACAGCCAAGCAGCAGCAATGGGGAAAGTGTGGTCAGGGGAAGGTGAGGACTAGAGGTGAGTGGGGTGGGGACACAGGAAAGATGCTAGGCTGTTGCTCAGGCTGACCATGGCCCCACCTCAGTTCAGGGCTCCAGCATCCCCTAAATTCTCTAGGCAGCCACCCAGGAGAACTACAGAGTCCTACAGGGTCCTTCAACCCCAGCCGATCACCAGTCTCTAAATCCTGAACATCTCTCAAAACTTAACTCTTTTCCCGTTCCCACCACACTGCCAGGCCCACCACCTTTGCTTCCTGCCACGGCTACACTTCAGCCTCCTTCCCAGCCTCCCTACCTGCAGCTCAGCTTCTCTTAGGTGCCAGGTCAAGGCTGGTCCCTACAAGGTCTCATTTCACCAGAGGCTTCTTCACAACTCTGGCCCCAGGCCTGAGCGGGAAGGCAAGATGCAGCCCAGCCCCGTGGCCTGTGGTCAGGCATGGCCTGTGGTCAGGCGTGGCCCATGGACCAGCAGCCGCAGGCCAGCCAGTCCCACCACACGGACTCCTGCTGCTCACCTGCGGATGGTCTGCCCTGCGGGCGTGTGTTCCACCTCCAGCCCTGCCTGCCGAAGGACGTCAATGACTGTATTGTTCCCCAGGAAGTGACCTGGAACACAAGAGACAAAGTGGACTCAGTCACATGCCAGGATGCCAGCAGCTGGGGATGGCCTCACTCCAGGCAGCTGGCCCTGGTGGACGACTGTCCGGTCCGGACAGCCCTCAGCACTCCGTGGGTGGGTGTACATGTGTGACACACTTGCTCTGCGGGCTACACTGAGGACACAGGTGCAGATCATGTAACCTCCAGACCCAGATGAGATCAGGAATCACCCTTCTTCACCAGGGTGCAGGACTGAGGTCTGAGTGCACAGGGAAGGCTCCCAGTCAGGAGGCCGAGGGACTATGGAGACAGCAGCTGCTGGGAGCCGGCACCCCGTTGAGCCTCTCTTGCTCCCTGGGCCTCGGCCTCCCCACCTGGTCAGCATGGGCAGAGTGGCAGTTGCCCCTGGTACCCTCCCCACCCATGTGCCTGCTCTGTGGCCCACTCCCACGGGCAGCTCCCTCCTGCTCACCATTCATCCTAGAACCTGGGGGAAATCCTTGCACTGTTACTGTAATTGCCTGTGACGGGTGGTGACAGGTGGGAAGCAGAGGGTCAGCATGTTGACAGCCCCAGGGGGGTCTGAGCAGAGAGAGTAGGTAGGCTGTGGGGGATGGAGAGGCTCCTGCACAGAGGAAGTCAGGCTGGGGGGCTGCATAGTGGCTGGAGCAGAGGGAGAAGCTCATAGCCCTTCACCAGCCAGCCCTCCACCCCATGGCTGGTTTCACCACTCCCTCAAGTCCCCCACCCAGCAGTCTCTCTGGCCAGCCTGGCACAGTCCCTGAAACCCATCTTTGGATCACTGCATAAGATCACTGGGCTGGGAACAGGAGGCGGTTTCTAGCTCTGGACCCACTGTGAGACCTTGGGCAAACCCGTGACACTGGAATGCCCTGTTTCTCTCTGCACACAAGGGAGTGGGCTGTATGATGTCCGTGGGCTTCCCTAGCTCTCAGATTCCATGGCGCAGGCTTTGTTTGACTCCAGAGACCTTTATGAAAGTGTGCTCTCCCTCCCTTCTTCTCCCCTCCCTCCCTTTCTCTACCTATCCATTTGATAGACCCAGAGTAAGTGCATACCTAGTGCTGGACAGTGGTGAACAGACAGGGGTCTGTTCCAGGCACCCAAAGTCTTGAAAAGCAGGCTTTTCTTATCCAGGCACTAATACTATGCTGAAGGAAGCACACAGGAGGCATCTACTCCAACCTGGGATCAGGGGAGCCTTCCTGGAGGAGGCGTCGCTAGCTAGGTGATGAGGGTAGTGGGGTGTCACCAAAGGGAGGGTGTTTCAGTTAGGAGGAGCAGCTGGTGCACAGATTAGGAGGTAAGTGAGGTACTTCTTGGAAGCCAGCTGCAGAAGACACACAGACAACACGGGTATGGCAGGCTCTTCCAGGCTCTGGCTTTACCAAGTGCTGTTGAGGACAGAAGACCCAGATTCCTGCCAAGGCTGTGAGTCTCCACTATGTAATCCTGAGCAAGGGGCTTCTCTGGCCCCAGCCTGTTTTCCTGTGTGTCGCATGCCTTCCTTCAGCCCACAGCTTGGGCAGCTATAAAGCCCTAATGAAGCAAGAGGAGTGAATGCCCTTTGGAAAAGCCCAGTGTGCCCTCCTGACTGATGGGCTAAGCTAGCCCCCGGCTGAGGCCACCAAGTCATCCCCATTCTTGCTTGTTCCTGAGCATGACTGGGCTGGAAGGGGCCTGGGCATGGCAGCTTCCAGTGCACAGGATGCAGGAACTCCTTGCCAGCAGCTCTTGGAATCCATCCCTGGCAGCAAAGCCAATGCCTTTCCTGCCTCCATGGAGACCTGTTTAAAGACGAGGGCTTCTAGGCCCAACAGTGGTCTGCCTGGAGGATTTGAAGAGCTGCCAGGGACAACAGCCTGCCTTGGGCTGCACAGGAGCAGCAGTGAATATTTACTGAAGGCCTTGTGGCTGCTCCAAAAAGGGCATTCCTGAGGCTGGCAAAGTGGGTATATGGAGGGGCCAGGTCCTGAGCATTTCCCAGCAACATTTCCATGTCTGGTCAGCACCACGTCCATTCCCTCCACATCAGTGGTTTAAGGTCCCTGTTGTGTAGCTTAAGACCCTAAACAGAAGACTTAAGATACTTCGAGAAGTTAGAGGCAATCAGGAAAGGTGATTTCAAATTGCCATCCCTCCTTCTCTAAGCCACACTCACCTTCACCCCTTTCCCTCCAGGACAGGGAGAATGGTATCCCTCCTGTCCCTCCCCAGCATAAGGCAGCTCCCTGCACAGCTCCAGGAGGCAACCTTCCCATGAGGCCATGCCCGGGGACTGTACCATGCAAGCCATTCAATCCTGAGCCCGTGTTCCCATTACTCTATGTGGGGCTCAGTTTCACAGGACCACACAACATCATCCTGTCCTGGCTTATCCTCCTCTCCCTGCTCCCTGTTTGTCCTCTTGGTGAGGTCCTTTTTCTTCTGCTCATTAGATGTGGGGACCCTCGGAATCCTGTCTATGGTCCTCTTTTCTTGTCACTCTCAGTCTATGGGCAAATCATCCACCATACAGTTTCAGTTACCACACAATGCTGACCACTCTCGAAGCATAGCCCCAGCTCAGACCCATTTGTCCAATGGCCTGCTGGACATCTGCACCTAACACCCCCACTCAGAGCCTGCAACATCCAACTCAGCTACCCCTCCTGCGAGGAGTCTCAGCTGAGCTCTGCTCTCCAAGCCAGATGGGCCCTGTCTTGACTCTCTGTTCTCTCTCTTCATCCTCATCCATTCAGTCACCAGAATCCCCTGATTCTACCTCCTATCCATGCTTGACTCTGGCCAAGGTCACCGTCACCTTCTGCTGAAATCACCTTCCTCCCTGCATCTAGAATGACCTTCTCATACCCCAGAGCTGCCTCTGTCAGAGTATGCTCCCAACAAGCCATTTGATGGGACACTGTGAGCTTTTCAAGGACAGGGGACATGCCTGATTCATCTGTGACCCAGGGCTGAATCCAAGTCTGGCCCCCCAGTGGTGGTTTCGTGATTGTTGAATGAATGAGTGACAAAACCTGCTACTCTATATCCTTTCCATGATCTCATCCAACGCCCAGGAGACCTGAGCTCATGATCTCCTCCTCTTGTAGCCTTGGCCAGCCCTTTGGTGTTGCTCATGCAGATTCCACCAATCCCAAGAGCTTGGCTCTTAGACCTGACTCTGAGTCAGGGCCCAGTGCATGTTGTCCCTAGGGGCTGGCAGACAGGGCCTAGGCTTGCCTCCAAGATCAGAAATCCTGAAACCGGAGCCACACCCATCCCGGAACCTGCAGGAAGGTGTGGAAAGTTTCCAAAGGGGCCCCTGGTCTTGGGGTTTAGCCTATGTGGCTTGCCCAGGCTCCTGGGGTCTCCTGGCCACTGCTCAGCAGCTCCTTCCAGCACTGACAGCTGTGCTCTGGCCAGCTCTCTGCTGGAAGGCACGTTCCATTTCATCTGCTGAGGCCACATGGATGAGGAGAGGAGGAAGGAGAGGGAGGATAGTGGGGGTGGGGTACACAGAGACACAGAGACAGAGTCAGGGAGACACACAGAGAGGCAGAAAGAAGAGAGAGATATCACAGGGAGACAGGCAGTTCAGGACACAAGGAAACCAAGAGGAGAAAGACAGTGGAGAGGAGGAGAGAGGGGCCCAGACATAGGCAATGAGAGACGTGAAGACACTGAGACAATGGTAGGGAGAGAAGGAAAAGGAGATACATCTAGACAAAGAGAGAGGGACAGAAAGAGAAAAGGATGGGGCAGTGAGATACAAAGAGACAGACAGAGAGAAAAGGAGAGAAAGGGTCAAAGAGGAGAGAAAAGAGAGAGAACCCCCCACAATGGGAAAAGGGGGCATGGTGGAGGTGAGATTAATCTACTGGGGACATCAGGGACGGCTTCCTGGAGGAGGGGGCCATGTAGCCAGAGCTCCAAGGCTGCGCGGGGTTTAGAGGTGCAAGGAGCAAGATCACAGGTCTTGAGAATGGTGGGGCTGGTATGGTGTTGTCTCCCCTGACCTGCAAGCCACAGTGCCACTTAAAGGGCATTCGTATACAAACAGTGCAGAGGCCCCCTCTGAACAAGCACAGCCTGACCATGTGTGAGTGCAGAGAAAAGGGCTCTTCTTCCGGGCCCAGGCAGGCCTGTGCCAGGGCACAGGGCTCAGTGAGCAGAGCATAGGCTGGTTATAGCCTGACAGCCCCAATTTAGCCTCTGACATGGAAAGGTAGGGTGGGACACAGAGAAGAATCCTGGCCTGGGGTTAGGACAGAAAACCTGGTTCAACAGCCCCTTGCTTGTGTGACCTTGGGCAGCTTCCTGGACTGCTCTTGGCCTCAGTTTCTCTCTATGGTCCACAGGTCCTCCCACCTCTATGATTTCATCACCTGGTGACCTGAACTCCTGCTTAGTGAGCCTCCTGGGTCATGAGGCTTTTCCAACATTCTTTCATTTCATCCTCACAGCAGCCTTCGAGGTCCCCCAGGTCATGAGGGAACTGGAGCCCAGTGAGGGGATGTGACTTGCCCAGGTCACACAGCTGGTGAAAGGTGAAGAGATGTCGTCACTCATCGCACGTCCCTACACACCCACTCTGAGGCACTGGTGGCTATAAGGGATCCTGAGTTCATGTCTGGGGGCAGGAAATTGTCAGAAACATGTGTACCTTCCAAGGTTCACCGGATTGGAGGGAAAGTATGTTAGTGCTCAGCAAGAACAACCCACCAATTAACAGGATAATTTCAAGGCAGTGTTGGGGGGCCAGGTGGAGGGGAGGGGGAAGGACCAGATGTTCCCACAAAAGCTCCAAAGTAACATGGGCTCCCCTCAGCCAGCACACATGTTTTCTCTCCTGTGAGTCCACTGGGTTTCCAGTTTTTTCCTCCTGGAAGAGGGATCCCAAGCCCGTATTTATGTTCTGTCTGAAATTAATGCAAGGGAAACTTTCAAATGCTAATCTAGCTGCCAGGAGCAGCAGCCGGATATCAAGCGACAGCGGTGTT